CCGACAGAGGTGCTCCCTGAAGGCTGGAGGAGCGTGAAGAGAGTTGGAAGGAGGATGTGCCTGAAGGATTGAGCATGGAAGGACCCCAGGACGGACTGCACACACGGGGCTGCGCCAACTAAGCCAAATACAAGGCACCCTAAGTAACTGCCCAGACTCCCCTCAGGATATGAATCGGGACACAAGTCTCATATTTGGACAGAGAAAGCATACAGAGGGTGATGGTGAGTTGCCATGGGCAATGGCTGGAGATACAAATTTCCACTGTCTCTGTTATTTGCATCTGTAAATGTACACCTGAGTAGTGGGGCTTGGTGGTTGGAAGAACAAGGAACAGGAGGAGTACAGAGGCCAAGTATCGATGTAAAGAATGTATGCTTTCTTTAGGCTACCTGGGCTACCTGGGACTGTACAAGTTTTTTGAGAGGAGAGGAAAGGAGGGACTTTTTTTTTTTCTTTTCTTTTAGATTTGACAATACTGTACTTTGAACTTTGAGTTACAATTTATGGTTAAGCTCAGTTAATATGAAGAATAGATCCACTAAAGGGGGGGAGGTAACAACCCCGCAACCCAATGCAAATACTAGTACAATAAAGAAATATATGCCATTACAAGAAAAAAGTCCTGAGCTACAAAGCATGGAGAAACAACAGGAAGGAAGTAGGAAACATGATGGTGAGCAGAATAGATTATCATCTGGAGTACGCGAAGGGAACGAGATCAACGAATCTATAATTGCCAATAACATAAATGATCAAAACATTTTGGAACAACAGAGAACAATATCACAAATCCCTACAAGAACAGAGATGGCGGAAATGTTTTAAAAACTAGAATTCTCTATGAAAAATGAAATGGCGGTATTTCATAAGGCTCTAGGACTAATGTTTAACAAGAGTAGAAGTAGCAGAGGTGAAAATGGAGACACAAGCTCAGCTGATCATTAATCTGGAGAAGCAGGTGGAGGAGATGGGAAGGAAACAGAGGAAGCTCTCTTTTAAGCTGGAGGATCATGAGAATAGAAAGAGAAGAAATAATCTAAGGGTCCGAGGATTACCAGAAGATGCGTATGAGGAGGACCTCAGGGAAGAAATAAGGAGAGTGTTTAACCCAATAATGCGCAGATTAGCCTCAGATCCTTTGAAAATTGAGAGAGTCCACAGGTTAAGACGCCCGCCAGGAATAACATCAGACATCCCTAGAGACATGTTTGTTTATTTCCATTATTATGAGGACAGAGAGAGAATATGGAAAAAACTGCAGGAGATCCCTGAATTAAGATTTGGAGAATCAAAGCTGCAGGTCTTTGCAGACATTGCATCTGAGACACTAGTGAGAAGAAGGTCATTGAAACTCTTATTGGATCAGATGAGGGAGAAAAAAGTTTGATATAACTGGGGGTTCCCAGAATGCCTGATTGGATGGAAGGATAGGAAGTCGGCAAGGCTAAGATTCCCAAAAGAACTAAGTGACTTTTGTGAAAAACTAGAACTGAAGAATGTAGATATTGAGGGATGGTCAGAGGGGTTAAATAAAAGCGTAAGGCCGAGAAAAGATGTGGCAGCCAGCCAGTAAAAAGAGAAAATAGACAGAACTTGGGATGGGGTGGGAGGATGGGGAGTTGTGGGGGTGGGGCAGTAAATTATGGTCCCCCCTGCATCTATTCCCCCTCTCTTTTTTTTTCTCTCTCTTTCTCTCCCTCACCACCCCCTGCCTTCTCTAGTATTCCCAGGGAGTCATTGAGGAAGTAGGAAAACAGAGAAGGTGGGGCATCAGGAGGCTAGATAGGAGAACAGCTCTCAAGCTTATGTTGAGAACTGGGGGTAAGAGTAGGTGTGCATGTTCAGAATTGTACCCCAGAATAAGAATCCCTAGTGGGGGAATCTCACATCAGATTCCAGGTCAATGTGTAGGCCAGGGGTTTTTTTTAGGAGTAAGTTAGGTAAGGGCGGGGGGGAGGGGGGAGGAAGAGTAGTAAGGGAAGGTGGGTGGGATGGGTGGGGCAGGGGAAGGTCCATGATTTGAGTTGTACTTATGCCCTTTCCTTTGAACATAAATGAAGAATGAGAAGAGAAACATCAAATGGGTATGAGCGGGATTAATCTCATGACCTATAATGTGAAAGGTTTTATATTCTCCCACTAAAGGCATATAGAGGAATCCACCAACATTCTGTAGATGTAGTGTTTATAAAAGAGACACATTTAACATATGAATTCAATGTTAAGTTATATTTGAGGTATTACCCAACCTGGTACTATGCAGACTCACCAATAAAGAGGGCTAAGGGAGTAGCGATTGGGTTCTTGAGGAGTGCGGGCTTTGTTGTGGAGGGGAAATTAGTAGACCCAGAAGATCGTTTTTTGTAAGAGGGAAAATGCAGGGTCAAAACTATACATTGGTTAGCATCCACTGTCCAAATCAAAACCCAGAAATATTCTTGCAGGGAGTGTTGGGGAAAATTATGGACTTTAAGAGGGGTAATCTGATCCTGGCAGGTGATTTTAATTTATGTTTGGATCCATGGATGGATACGACTTCAAATGCTCCAAGAGGAGGAAAAAAAAATAGGATTGTTAAAAAAGATGTTACATCAAAGTCAATTAACAGATACATGGAGGGTGAAACATCCCAGAGAAAGAGATTATACCTTCTTCTCTCCAGTGCATAGATTGTATTCACATTTAGATTATATAATGGTCAAGCATAGACAACTGGACTTTTTGGTTAAATCTAATATAAAAGCTATGTGTGTCTCGGATCATGCACCTGTCACAGTAAGACTACAGGTAGGAGGGGATGGGAATAAGAGGGCTATGTCGAGATTAAATAATTCACTTATACAGGAACCTGAAATTGAGAAAAGGTTAAAAGATGAAATAGAGCATTATTTTCTTCTGAATGAAACTGAGGCAGTCTCTGTGGCTACTATTTGGGAGGCACATAAGGGATACATCAGAGGAGTTTTGATAGCCGCAGGGACCAAAAAAAAAGAAAGATCGTGAGAGAAAAATAAAGAAGTTGATGGAGGAGTTATATAGATTAGAACAGGAACATAAAAAGAGACAGGACACAGCGATACATCAGAAGATCATACTAAAGAGAAGAGTTAAAGGACCTGTTGGAACAGGAGACAAGGAAGGTTTTTAATAGAGTCTCAAAGGAAAGATATCAGTGGGGGAATAAACCAGGAAAATATCTGATTAAAAGACTGAAGGAAAGAAATTGATGAACTATATCAAAAGAATAAAAGACGAAAAAGGAGATCTGGTATATTCCACCACTGATATTGTGAAAACATTCCAAAAATATTATAGTAGGCTGTATGTGTCAGGAATGGACTTGCCAGTAATGGTGGGACTCACCTGCCTTGTGGGCTGCAGTACCAGGGCTGGCCAGCGGGTGCTCTCAGCAATCAGAGACTCAACCCTGTAGTCAGCCAAACACCTGAAGCTGATTATGCAGGTGTATTTAAGGGATGGCCAGACCTGCAGTCTGTGCCTTGCTTTGTGTGCTTTTCTATGGGCCCCTGTATCTTGTTACCTGCATCCCTGTTCCTGTTCCTGTTCCTGTCTGACTGATTCGTTGCTGACCCTGCCTGATCCGGACCTCTGCTGACTTCTCCTGTTTGATCCCTGGCTTGTGACCCCGACCACTTTCTGCCTGACCCCCTGTACCTACCTGCCCGTTAGTTGCTGTACCCGGCTCGTGACCTGACTTCTCTCTGCCTGCTCCTCCTGTTCCTACCTGCCCGATTGTTATTGACCCAGCCTGCCTGACGACGCTTGCATTGTATGTATTGTTATCTGTGGGTGGTTTGGTTTGGTTCGTTTGCACCGTGTTATGTTTTAGTATTGCACTGCGTTTATGTATTGTTAGTGTTAGTAAATTATATTGTTTATAACATATCTGAAGCCTGCGTTTCCCTGCGTCAGTTCACATACCTCTGGTCATACCCTGGAGCCCTGACATTACACCAAGGCCAATCCTGACCAGAAGTGGCTGCACAGGGAAGCCATCTTGGCTTGTTGCTGGGAAGGATGGATCTTGATGAGGTTGTGTATTTATCTCTGCTAGTGTTTGATGACAGAGAATATGCATATCAGACTCTGATGGAGTATCCCAGGGATCAACTACTAGAATGTATACGGATCGCTCATTGCCTAGTAGATCAGGGCACAGAATTCTCTGAGGTGCAGCCATTGATTCAGGTTTGTGCTGAGTTGGTTTCATCTGGTACCCCCGAATGCAGGGATGAATTTTTGCCGCCATTTAGTGCCGACCAGGTAGAGTCCCTGGTATGGTTATTAGAGGATGATGTGGATTACTTTCTGGAGCGTTATTCTGCATGTTCACCACAGGTACTAAGAGATTGTGTAAACGCAGTGCAGTCTTTGACCAGACAGGCTTTGTGTGAGCTGAGCTTTGTTCAACCCATACTGCAGACATGGTCAGACTTGTTGCACCCAGCCTCAGTCAGCTTACAACATCATTTCTCCACTCAAGGCACTCTTCCTGCATCCCCGACAGCACCCCCAGTGACTGCCCAGTATACTCTAACTACCACATACCAGTCCTCTGCTCCCACTCACTGCACCTATCCTTTCTTTAACCCTGTAAAGAAGTCCTCTGTAGCAACTGCTCCCTCCTCTGTTCCATCTTCCAGCTCTTCTCTGTCCTCAGCTGCTCCATTCGTTTACAGACCTGCGTTTACTTGCAGTGTTCCAGTAGTTAAAACCAGAAAAAAGTGAAAATTCTTTCCAACCAGTACCATCCTGCCAGTATCCAAACCGGTGAGCCTGCCGTCTGAGAACCTGCCTTCCGTGGTTCAGCCTGGTGCCTCGGCACCCGCACTTCAGCCTGATGTCTCTACCCAGCCTGATGTCTGTACCCAGCCTGATGAACTGATCCAGCCTGATGATCCTATCACGCCTGATTACCCAGTGCCCGCTGTCATACCTGGTGACCCGATGCCCGCTGTCGAGCCAGACGATCCAATGCCTGATGACCCAGTGCCCGCTGTCATGCCTGGTGACCCGATGCCCGCTGTGGAGCCAGACGATCCAATGCCTGATGACCCAGTGCCCGCTGTCATACCTGGTGACCCGATGCCCGCTGTCGAGCCAGACGATCCAATGCCTGATGACCCAGTGCCCGCTGTCATGCCTGGTGACCCGATGCCCGCTGTCGAACCAGACGATCCAGCGCCAGATGACCCGGTGCCTGCTGTCGATCCAGACGATCCGGTACCTGATGACCCAGTGCCTGCTGTCATGCCTGCCTGTGACCCGATGCCCGCTGTCGAGCCAGACGATCCAACGCCAGATGACCCGGTGCCCGCTGCTGCCGATCCAGACGATCCGGTACCTGATGACCCGATGCCCACTGTCGAGCCATGCCCACTGTCGATCCAATGCCTGATGACCCAGTGCCCGCTGTCATGCCTGGTGACCCGATGCCCGCTGTCGAGCCAGACGATCCAGCGCCAGATGACCCGTGACCCTGCCTGCTGTCGAGCCAGACCATCCGGTACCTGATGACCCGGTGCCCGCTGTCGTACCAATTGACTCAGAGCCCACTGTTGTGCCTGGTGACTCGGTGCCCACTGCCTTGCCAGATGACGCGGTGCCCGCTGTCGAGCCAAATGACCTGATGCCTGGTGACCCGATGCCCGCTGTCGAGCCAGACGATCCAATGTCTGACCCAGTGCCCGCGGTCATGCCTGGTGACTCAGAGCCCACTGTCGTGCCTGGTGACTCGGTGCCCACTGCCTTGCCAGATGACGCGGTGCCCGCTGGCGAGCCAAATGACCTGATGCCTGGTGACCCAGTGCCCGCTGTCAGGCCTGGTGACCCGATGCCCGCTGTCGAGCCAGACGATCCAATGCCTGATGACCCGGTGCCCGCGGTCATGCCTGGTGACCTGATGCCCGCTGTCGAGCCAGACAATCCAGCGCCAGATGTCCCGGTGCCTGCTGTCGAGCCAGACGATCCGGTACCTGATGACCCGGTGCCCGCTGTCGTGCCAATTGACTCAGAGCCCACTGTCGTGCCTGGTGACTCGGTGCCCACTGCCTTGCCAGATGACGCGGTGCCCGCTGTCGAGCCAAATGACCTGATGCCTGGTGACCCGATGCCCGCTGACCAGCCAGACGATCCAATGTCTGACCCAGTGCCCGCTGTCATGCCAGTTGACTCGGAGCCCACTGTCGTGCCTGGTGACTCGGTGTGCCCACTGCCTTGCCAGATGACGCGGTGCCCACTGGCGAGCCAAATGACCTGATGCCTGGTGACCCGATGCCCGCTGTCGTGCCTGATGACCCGGTGCCCGCCGCTCCGGGGGGGCCCGGTGCCCGTCGCCCCACCTGGGGGCCCGGTGCCCGTCGCCCCGCCTGGGGGCCCGGCGCCCGCCGCCCCGCCTGGGGGCCCGATGCCTGTCGCTCTGCCTGGGGGTCCGGCGCCCGCCGCTCCGCCTGGGGGTCCGGCGCCCGCCGCTCCGCCTGGGGGTCCGGCGCCCGCTGCTCCGCCTGGGGGCCCGAGACCTGTCGCTCCGCCTGGGGGCCCGGTGCCTGCCGCCCCTCCTGGGGGCCCGGTGCCCGCCGCTCCGCCTGGGGGCCCGGCGCCCGCCACTCCACCTGGGGGCCCGGCGCCCGCCGCCGCCCCGCCTGGGGGCCTGGCGCCCTGCCTGGGGGCCCGGCGCCCGCTGCTCCGCCTGGGGGCCCTGTGCCTGCCGCTCCTCCTGGGGGCCCTGTGCCTACCGCTCCTCCTGGAGGCCCTGTGCCTCTGCCCGGAGTCCAGCCCGATGTGCCTCTGCCCGGAGTCCAGCCCGATGTGCCTCTGCCCGGAGTCCAGCCCGATGTGCCTCTGCCCGGAGTCCAGCCCGATGTGCCTCTGCCCGGAGTCCAGCCCGATGTGCCAGTCTTTGATATCCCGCCAGTTACCAGACCCGGGCGGTAGAACATTTTGCCCAGCTAGGACTGTTTGGAGCGTCCTGAGGCAGCTCCTTGAGGGGGGGGGTACTGTCAGGAATGGACTTGCCAGTAATGGTGGGAATCACCTGCCTTGTGGGCTGCAGTACCAGGGCTGGCCAGCGGGTGCTCTCAGCAATCAGAGACTCAACCCTGTAGTCAGCCAAACACCTGAAGCTGATTATGCAGGTGTATTTAAGGGATGGCCAGACCTGCAGTCTGTGCCTTGGTGTGTGCTTTTCTATGGGCCCCTGTATCTTGTTACCTGCATCCCTGTTCCTGTTCCTGTCTGACTGATTCGTTGCTGACCCTGCCTGATCCGGACCTCTGCTGACTTCTCCTGTTTGATCCCTGGCTTGTGACCCCGACCACTCTCTGCCTGACCCCCTGTACCTACCTGCCCATTAGTTGCTGTACCCGGCTCGTGACCTGACTACTCTCTGCCTGCTCCTCCTGTTCCTACCTGCCCGATTGTTATTGACCCGGCCTGCCTGACGACGCTTGCATTGTATGTATTGTTATCTGTGGGTGGTTTGGTTTGGTTCGTTTGCACTGTGTTATGTTTTAGTATTGGACTGCGTTTTATGTATTGTTAGTGTTAATAAATTATATTGTTTATAACATATCTGAAGCCTGCGTTTCCCTGCGTCAGTTCACATACCTCTGGTCATACCCTGGAGCCCTGACAGTATGATGTGAACACCAAGAACCAGAAGGTAACAGAGGAATAAAAGAGAGGGAAAAGGTTGGAATACCTAGCGGCAGCAGACCTGCCAAAAATATCAGAGGAAAAGTTAGCATCCCTAGAACGAGCAATCTCCCAGGATGAAATAAGTACGGCCCTGAGGAATACAGCAGGAGGAAAGAGTCCAGGACCTGATGGGAACACAGTGGGGTATTTTAAGAAGTTTAACCACTTGCCTACCGGGCACTTATATCCCCTTCTTTACCAGGCCAATTTTCAGCTTTCAGCACTGTCGCACTTTGATTGACAATTGTGTGATCATTCAAGATTGTACTCATATGAAATTTTTATCATTTTTTTTTTCTCACAAATAGAGCTTTCATTTGGTGGTATTTAATCGCTGCTGGGTGTTTTACTTTTTGCACTATAAACCAAAAAATTAAAAAAAAAGTTTCTTTGTTTCTGTTATAAAATGTTGCAAACAGGTAATTTTTCTCCTTCACTGATGTGCGTTGATGAGGCAGCACTGATGGACACTCATAGGCGGCACTGATAGGCGGCACTAATAGGCAGCACTAATGAGGTGGCACGGATAGTCGGCACTGATAGTCGGCACTGATGATGGGTACTGATAGACAACATTGATAGGCGGCACTGACTGGCGTCACTGCTGGGCACTGACCGGCGGCACTGCTAGGCATTGACTGGCGCAACTGCTGGGCACTGACTGGCACAACCGCTGTGCACTGACTGGTGGCACTGACTGGCAGCACTGCTGGGCTGCACTGGTGGGCACAGGTGGGTGGCACTGCTGGGCACAGGTAGGTGGCACTGTTGGACACAGGTGTGTGGCACAGGTGGATGGCACTGCTGGGTGGCACTGCTGGGCACAGGTGGGTGGCACTGCTGGGCACTTGTAGGCAGCACTGATGGGCACAGGTGGGCGGAACTGGTGGGTGGCACTGCTGGGCACCAATCATCAGGGCACTGATCATCAGTGTCCTGATAATCTGTGCCGATCCCTGCTCTGACAACTGCCAGTTCTCGGCAGTACTTTCCTCACGCTCTGACAGCGTAAGGAAAGTGCAGCTGAGAACCGGCAATTGCATTTTTTCTGTGATCAGCGTGTCATTTGACACGGCTGATCACATGGTAAAAAGCCGCTGTGATCGGCCTTTTACCACATCATGTGATCAGCGGGGGTGTGCAGGAGTGCGCATTCTGGGAGGACGTCATATGACGCCCACCCAGAACTGGCCAGCCGCAGTGTAGCCGTCATTCGGCTATCTGCAGTCGGCAACTAGTTAAAGATCTATTGACCCCTAAACTCTGTATATATTTGAATGCCCTGGGAGAAGGAATGGGAATAAGAGAAGAATTGCTCCAAGCATATATAACAATCATTCTTAAAGAGGGGAAGGATTGCTCACAATGTGCCAGTTATAGACCCATAGTATTATTAAATACAGACACAAAACTCTACGAAATTATTAGCAACCAGGTTAAATGAGTTGATGCCGGAATGGATACATTTAGATCAGGTGGGTTTTATCCCAAACAGAGAAGGAAGGGATATTGACCTAAGAACACTGCTTCTCTTTGCTGGAATTCTAGAGTTATGAAAAACTTTCTTATTATTCTTGTGTCTTTAGGTGATTGTAGGAATAAATCCTTTCTAGAGTGAGCTAAGAAAAATAAGTGTGACTTTATTTGATCACACACAAAAAAGATACAAAGTCAATACAAAAATAACTATTTCAGATACAAAAAGAAATGTAGCTTAAATTAAAATAAAAGTAAGAGATATAAGTTGTTTGTTTCTTGGATGAAATAAAAATATGTAGTTTCTTTTTGTTAAAGTATGTGTGCGTGTGTGTCTGTGTGTGTGCTTTGTCCAGTGTGAGCTGAAATGGTGACTAAACCCATTTGCCTTTCAGCTTAAAAAGCTTTCTGTTGTTTCAAAAACCGCGGGCTCATTAACCACTCCCTTTTCACCTCCCACCCTAATTAGATATATGTTACATGTGTTCCTATAACTTCAGCCAGGCTAATTGACATGACTGAAAACGAAGTCAGGAGGAGGTAACAACTGGAGTCTTGTGTTACACAGCAAAATTGAGCTGTCCAGACACATGTGATTGTTGAAGAAAAAAACATAAGCTCTCAAACTAATAAATGAAATCATAACAAGGTATACATTACATAGGACTACTTTAAGAAAATATAAACTTAAAACCATCAATCATTTGGTCTAAAACTACCTTTCTAAAGTTACCAACTCCAGACACAATAATTCACATCTGTCATTACTTAGCTCAAAACCTTACCATTCACATCCAATTAGAGGATATATATTCTGGCCAGGCATATATCATAACTTTCTAGAGATCAGATTAAAATTTAGATATTAAAAATGAATATTACACTCTTACAAAAAGCAAGGAGAGAAAAACTGCCAACAATCATCCTGTCGATTGTCGCTGAAAAAGCTTTTGACAGGGTGGACTGTGGATTTATGATAAACACGCTAGAGGCTTTTAGAATAGGGACAAGGATGTTAAAGTGGACAAAGGAGCTTTGGCACTAGACAGGGATGTTGATTATCCCCGTTGCTATTTGTTATATCCCTGGAACCTCTTTGGCGACAGTAAGAAAGAATGTAGATATTAGAGGAATTAAAATAGGAGAGGTGGATCACAAAGTGGCAGCGTACGCAGATGACATGCTGTGTTATATTGTGAACCCCAGATTAACGCTACCTAACCTAATGGGGTAATTAAAACAGTTTGGTGGGCACTCAAATTTAAAAATAAATCCTACAAAATCAGAGATTTTGAATTTTAATATTTCAAAGAAAGAGAAGCAGATCCTACAAAAAGACTTTCCATTTACATGGACGGAGAAGGAACTAGGTTATCTGGGAATAAAGTTAACCCCCTCAATAAAAAATATATACCAGGTAAATTATATTCCATTAATAAAAGAAATAAAGGAAGAATTGTGAAGAATTTCAAGGGGTAGGGTCTCCTGGATCAGGCATATTAATCTGGTTAAGATGGTGATAGTCCCAAAAATGTTGCATAAATTTCACATGCTCCTAGTTCATATACCAAGATCCTTTTTTGCGATAATAAAAAAATTGATATTTGAATATACAGTTGTGTTCAAAATAATAGCAGTGTGTTGAAAAAAGTGAATAAAGCTCAAAATCCTTCTAATAGCTTTTATTTCCATACACACAAATGCATTGAGAACACTACACATTCTATTCCAAATCAAAACATGAAGAAAAATATATTAATTTTTGTTGTTCCTCCAAAAAAATTGAAGAAAAGTGAATATTAGACTGTTCAAAGAAAAAGATTTTCGCTTTCTTCCACGTCTTTCAGGTTTTGATTGCCATTTTAAAGTATTTGCGATCATTTTAGCTGAGCAGCCTATCGTTTTCTGCACTTCTTTATATGTTTTCCCCTCTCCAATCAACTTTTTAATCAAGTACACTGTTCATCTGAACAATGTC